CCCTAGAGAACAAACAGAGGGATAATAAAATAAAAGACCAGAACAACGATCTAATTCTCTCCAGAACCACCACGCCTGCAAAGAAATTACATAACATTCATTCGTCATTTTTCTGGATTTTCTTTACTCAAAATCTTATTTTAAGCATGCATGCAAGTTCTATGAGACATGCACTAAAAACAAAAACGCAGTTTCATAACACAAATACCAAATTATCATCCAAGTAAAACAGGTTTCTAGAAATTTTCTGAACAAGATATTGTTTACAACAGTAGGTCGGTCATCAAATACTATGCACTAACATTTCTGCATTCCAATTGCTTAGTGTCTACAAAAATAAAAAATAAAAAATTACTGACATGATAGATGAAACAAGTTGATAGATGCACAAAGCAAAATCTAGTAAAGCCAAATTCGTACTAAAAGAAAATTCAACCGAGTACAGTAGCTAAAACAGAAAAATTCTGACCAGAAACAAAAGACACTGCGAAAAAACTAACCTGAATAACAAATCACTCTTCCATGTGATCGGCAGCGCCAGATTCTTTGATATCAACAGGGAAAGAGTACTCCTGGTCACAACCCAAGTAAGAGTCGCACATGAAGTATAGTGTGTATGACTTCTCTCCCTGGTTCACTCGGTCCTGCGAAATCCAGCTTCACCTTCGCTTTCCGCTGCAATGAGACACGCTTGATTGCCAGCAACTGGTTCGTCTTGGTGTCGCCCACCACCAGCCACCACCCTTCWTCTTTGGTCTTGGGYTACCTGGGTGCATCCACYGCCCCCACTTCTGTCCTCCCCTCCATGTCTCTCTCAAGCATCACTTGCAATGTSACCTCTTTTCCRGCGGTCACCTCTTCGCTGCCCACAACCTCATAAGTAAGGTCAATGTTGGGGAAACGGTTGCAGAARCTGGCAATGRCTAGAAGCTGAGGATCTGACATCTGGAGAAGCTCTTTGCGTTCTTCGTCCTCCATCTCCACAAGATCAAATACGGTTTCAATATTTTTCCCCGGATTCTCTTGGCATCTTTTGGCCAAGTCRTTTGTGAAYTGYGGGAGCTGCAGAAGCATGGAATCCCMCTCCCACATGCCTTGAGTCACCATCTGGCTTACTTCCATAGCTAGGAGAGCAAGATTCAGCCAGCCATTGCTCGATATSACATCAACCATCGCTTGAAGAAGTCTAGTTGCAGACAGAAGGACCTCACGCTGATCCATTGCCAAGTTCCCGCTGATGTTCTGCCTCGAGAAATGTGCCTGAAGAAGCGCGTTTGCCTTCACATGAGGATCTGTACATTTTGGGTTTTCGAAAGTATGAGTCTCCGAACAGTGTCCTCTTCCCCAGGCCGTATAGGGATCATGTCATACTCCGAAGCTGATGTTAAGATCTCAAGAAGTCCTTTCATCTTGGTTTTAGAAGACAAAAGAGAACTGAAYCGCTCGATGGTGGTGTAACTGATGTAATAATAGGACGCGATCYTACCAAGATTGAGAGGAGAGAGATCCATCTCATCCTCTATCTCAATGCATTTACTGGCTTCAAGATCAGACAAGGTGTTCTCAACCAGCTCTGATAGGWGATCAGACAAATGCCTGTGGCTAACTCCTTGMAGATTGTAGTAGTTAGGYTTCTGGGGAAGCCTCCTGTACATGAAAGTCCATGTAAGATAATCCACAGCATCCTGCTTGTTCTCTATAACKCCAGCAACCACTTCTGCGTTGAAATTATCATGCAAGTAATGCTGAAGATGACTTTCCACAGGGAAGGCTTCATACAGGAACTTCTTGTAATACTCTTTACGCGGTGCGTGARAGAATATCACACACTTCCCAGCATTGTCAAGTAGAGGTCGGCTAGCACGCCCCATCATCTGAAGCAGATCAGGTACGGGATAATCTGAATGTGAATTTTCCCTTCCATCATAATACTGCGTCCCCATTACGACCACCAAATGCGCAGTTAATSGAGTGCCCCAACARAGTGAACTGCTCATCACACAAGCCTGAATCCGTCCAGCTTCAAAGAGCTGTGTCACGATCTCCTGATCCAGACTGCTTAAGCCTTCGTGCAAYTACCCAACACCATGGCGCAGTGTCTCCTTCAATGTTTCCTCGCGGATTTRGCTAAGAAAAGGCTCCAATTCTTCCAGTTTCCCTAACAGGAAATCAGGGCTCTGCGGGTTGTCCATGTGAGAGTYAGCCATCAAATCCACAGCAGTCAAGCGGACYTGTTTACGGGTTGGGACAAAAACTATAGCCGGCTTCTTGTTKTTGGCATGTTGGACTATGGRGGTGTAGGTGGGCTTGGTCATCGCCTGCATCCTGGCTTCAAAACTGGATATATCCACTCCTTGAATGTGGATCTCCAGTGGAACAGGCCGGACTCCAMGAGGAAAGTTGAAAAGGCCATGGGAKCTGGCCRCAATCCACTKCCCAAGATCTTTTGCATTTGCAAGGGAAGTGGAAAGCGCAACAATCCTGATCTTATTATCGCTCTGACTTGAAATATATCTCATTCTAGAGACMATTACCTCCAACACTGYACCACCTTGACCTCCAAGTAGATGGAGTTCATCGACGATGAAAAGACTAACCTGTTTAACGTATTTTCTCTGTTTCCACCTGCGAGAAAGAGCATCCCATTTCTCAGGAGTACTTATAATTATCTGCCCTTTCTCAAGCAGCTTAAGATCCAACGTCGTCTCCCCAMTTAGTTCAACAACRCGTAAACCAAGACCCTTCCKAAACTTCCTCTCCCAGATACGAAASTGCTCCTTAGCAATAGCCTCAAGTGGTGCAATGTAGACAACACGCATTGTAGCATCAGGTCCTTCTTGATGATTCTTAAGTATAGCAAACTCCGCACATATAGTCTTCCCACTTCCCGTTGGAGCAGCAACCAACACATTGTCATTTCATAAGTTGGATTCCTTAACGCTGTGACCGGTAGGGGCTGCAAGTCRAATAGCTCTGTAGGTGGTGGGTACTTTTCTGGAAGAATAAGATGTCTGAAAGATACAGGCAACACAGTCTGCGAGCCAAGCCACTTGTCTGAAACCACTCGGACAAAATATTGAGGTGGCAGCGGTTCAAAGATTGGCACAGTGAAGTTTATTGTGTGATCCTCACTAATATACTGCTTCTTCAAAAGAAAATACTCYTGATGAAGGATCTTCTCACCATCATTGTCTTCCACAATTATCCAAAATGGCTCAACATATTTATGAATTTTTTCGTCCCACAGGAAATCAGGTGTAATTGTGAGTTCCACCTTCAGAACAGTTCGAGTAATAGGCTGAACATGTGCTGCGAGAGTCAACTTTGGGAACTGATGGATGGCCTTGTGAAGCGGRCTGCCCATCTTKGGACTACGAATTAGCTCTCCTAGCTCCTGTGAGGATAGATCATAGTACCTCTCCCACACCAAATCCTTCTTCTCCAACTTCATCAGAATGTCATTSTGAATTCCATGAAACTGACGAAGGGGTGTCTGGACACTCCACATCCTCTTCCCAACCATTTTAGACAAGTTCAGAGCRTTCTCAGCCAGTTGAYCCSATCCGCGCTTCAATACAATTTCATAAAGAGCTCGTACAAGACGTCCAGCACTCRAAACATGATAGGGAAAAAAWGAGAWGTAAGCACCAGAAAACAGATATAGCAATTTATCAATGTAACTAAGAGAGATGGAAGYACAAGGAACAAACCTGAGTAATATAGACCATGTCAGATGTCAAAGAAAGACCRTCAAGCTTTAGCTGTGAKATATATGCTTGTAGCAGAACATTAATCTTTGCACTGGGCTCCTCCAGAGTTTCCTTGATTGGAATCGGGACACGATCCAAAAGTTTTGCCAGTTCCATCTTCTCATCTTGCCGAACAGTCACATACTTGAACTCCTCACTCAGTGAGAACAGACGATAAAGATCTATATCACCCATTGTTGGCTTCAAATGCTCATTGTATGTAGCTATGGTCCCATGGGTATATAGTAGTAGCTAGCAATACGTCCCAAATCAGTAACTTGGAAGTATCCACTTTTCCTGTCGTACTTTACCAAGTTATTTTTGTCCAAGATAGTAGCAGCTGAATGTATCTGCAAAAAGAACGATTCAAGCAAATATTAGGTCCAGCTCGCCATTAAGGTAACTTCTGAGCAATGAGAWTAAATACCAAATGCAAACTCATCATTCAAAATTCTCAAAAAAGATATATGATATACTAGTTCTGTGATCAACCTGAAGGAAACAAGCCATGCACAAGAATCCGACAGTTTATCATGTATTGCATGTAATAGACAYAAAGAAAGCTACTGATACTAGGAAAAATATTATGGGAAACGATATCAGATAAATGCATGTAATTTTGCAGAGTATTAGAAAGGGAGCTCGCTATTAGGAATACCAAATAAATGACTTACAGAGCAATTACATTAAATAATCAGATACATYCTCCTCACTTAAAACTGTCATATAGAAAATCTAGAATACTAATGTTGAGATTTTAGAACGAGTGCATTAATAAACACATAAAAAGTAACATTCAGAGCAATGATATCAAATAATCAGATGCAAACTTATTAATCAAATTTTTAAACAGAACATGAAATACTAAAWTTGTGATCAGCTTAAAGTATAAAAAGCACACAGTTGATATCAACAGTTCACCATGGACTGCCTATAGTAGACAGTGGGAAAGCTCCAGATACTAGGCATAGTACTTATGGGCATTTAACGATAAACAAATAAATTTAACAGTAGGTACCAAAAGCTCAGGTTAATGCAGATGAAAGTACGTACCAGGTCAGCTCTTCTCTCCTCCAACACTACGTCTTTTGCAAGGGCATCAGGCGCTAAGCCATACAGCGTTGGATTACGAACCATACGGATATATAAATACGTATAGCCAAGCCAATGGATAGCCTCTCTAGCATTCTGAACGGTTCCCAGCACAATTTCAGCATTAAGCTGATCAGCAAGTTTGGATATAAACTGGCTTTCAATAGGTAGTTGRTCATTRATCAAKGAAAGATAYTACTGCAGCTCGCTGTATCCAGTGATAATTATACCCTCCCCATGTTGATCATACTGAGGTCTTCCAGCACGTCCAAGCATCTGCATAACATCTAGAGGACTCAGTTCCATCCACGCCCCTTTCTCAGGATTATAGACRTGGGTTCCTTTGATAATGACAGTATGTGCAGGCAAATTCACACCCCAAGCYAGAGTTGCTGTGGAAATCAAGACTTGCACATGCCCTGCACTGAAAAGGGCCTCAACTATCTCACGATCACCCCTTGTTAACCCAGCATGATGAATAGCAAAACCYTAAGGCAGGAGATTTTTCAGGTCAGCACTCTTAATAATGTCAATCTGACTCTGAAGAACTTCACGACTTACACTATCTTCCTTCAAGAATCTGCTGAGGGTATCGTTTGCCATMGCGGTGTCCCGTATTGCTTTTGCAGTTTTTGCTGTTTCCWTCCTAGAGTGAACAAAAATAAGGACCTGATGCTTTCCAGCACCGGCCAATACTTTCTGGTAACATATATCATTCATCAATTGGAACCTCTGCAACGGTTTTTTCACACTGATTCCAATAWACTGCTGATGAAGAGGCACAGGTCTGTAGCTGCGGTCAAATTTAAACAGCCCTTTATTAGGATCAACCCGCAAAAATAAGGCAACATCTTCATAGTTTGGCAGTGTAGCCGATAAACCCACCAGACGAATATTCTCCTTCGTGGTTTCAATCTGCCTAAGAGTCCTAGCYACAATGCTTTCAAGCACAGGCCCTCGATTATCATGAAGAAGATGAATTTCATCGATTATAAGAAGTCTCACAAGCTGAGTATAAGTGCGATCTCCAGACTTCCTGGTGATGATGTCCCACTTCTCTGGTGTTGTAACAATTATRTGAGTCTCCTCAATTTCTTTCCCACTAAGGGACTGATCCCCACTGAGTTCCCTCACAGTAACTCCATAATCCTTCAGACGATTAGACAAATTACTGACGACCTCAGCAACAAGGGCTTTCATGGGTGCAACATAGACAATTTTGTAATCTCCATGGTTAAATGTTCCATCGTCATTCATATGCAATGCAAGTTGCTGCAGTATGGTGAGCATAGCAACATTGGTTTTCCCAGCACCAGTTGGAGCACAAAGAAGAATGTTATCTGCCTTKAACAGCGCAGTGTCATACACTTTGCTCTGAACCCTGTTCAGCTGTTGCATTCCCTTAAAAGCAGYTTGAGCCCAATTCGGCATCTCAGTGATCTTCACAAGCTTCTCATTGATATCCACTTTTTTAGAAACCCATGGCACATGAACTTCATCATATCCCTTGCCATGACTTCTGTAAGAGRCAGGGGGAAGGTCACACTTCTTATTCGRCATCAGGAGACCACCTTGGTCAAAAGCCAAGCTTTCCAGGTCCAGCATCTGACGTTMACCCTTCAACCAACCACTCTCTAAATCTCTATCAGTGACATCTCTCCTMCCTCTYCTTTCATCTCCACCAGTTTCATCCTTCAAACGCCGGGCTTCTTCYTTAATACTTTTCTGCAGGTTCTCCTCCCTRTCTTTCGCTGTTGCTCTGGTTGCATGCAACTGCTCCACAATTGCAGCCAACTCRGGGCCCAATCCCCTCATCTCCTCTTCAATTCGATTCCTCTCTTCCTGGTCTTCTGCCCTAGCCAAACGAGTGCACCACACAACTTTAAGGCGGTTCCGCAGCAGAAATTTAACAAGGCWAAACTTTTCAAACRGAAGGTGCKCAAGCAGCTTGMWCTCAACATCTCTATCATCCCCTTCAGCAAGTATCTTAAGCAGCTCTTCAGCGAGTACTTGGCACTGCTGTGGATCAATCTGCTGTTCATAAGCTTGAGATATCTTTCTCTGGAGCCAATAGGCATCAATGTCCTGAACGTTCAGACTCGTGCCCTCATTTGCTTCCCCAGCATCCTCGTCATTTATGCCAGCACCCACCTGCATACCTCCAGTTCTTTGTGGTTCTTCATCCTCCTCGTCTTCTTCCTCCTGGACCATATCAGGATCGCTCTCCTCATCATCTTCTTCGTTCTCCTCAAATTCAACAGCCACACCTACATCATCATCAAGCCCTTCATCCTCACTTGCTTTATTAGCACCGGAATCACTAACCTCTTGAAAGTCCGTGATCATTTTTCCAATGGAAACAAGCTCATCGAAAACCTTATTATGATCTTGAGTAGGGTTCAGCAACTTCTCTATCTCCACCTTTTTTTCAGGGTTTTTGATGGTATSGTTCTTGAGAACAGCCAYAATCTKATCTGCAGCACCACTAACAATATTCAGAGGTAGCCCACCCAACTGCTTCTGAGTAAGACTAAGCATAGCCTCATAAGCAGCCCTTGTCTCCTTAGTCTTTGGCTGATAAACCACATCGTCCGTATCAGTGAGCACACTCTCTTCCCTCAGACGACGCCTCTTGCTCTGCCTAAAAGAAACCTTATCATCCGCAACATCACGTTCCTTCTTCTTAGACTTTTTAAGCTTATCCTCCAACTCCTGAGGCCTTCCCTTAGCAACAGGTCTCCAAACGACTTAGGATCAATTTTCCCCCACAAAGTTTCCGGTTCACCAGTAGGTTCATGTGTATCTCGAGGACGATTGTCAGTGGTTAGGACCAGACTAGAAGTAGCTCTGTAATCATGCTGCTTGAACCTGGCATGCGCTTCCGCACCGCCTCCCAAATTCGCCATTACCAATCCGAAAACCTAAAATCAAAATCACATCACGAACATTAACCTCAAAATCTTCCACCGTAAACATAAAACAAGACCTAATCACTAAAATGACCACCGAAAGAAAAACGAAACAAAAACATTGAAGACGAAGATGATAAACCCTAACGAACCCCAAAATCGAGTACAACAAAGAGAAAGAGAGACTTACGGAAACAGCTACGAAATATCTTCGAACAGTAGCAGAAACCTTCTCGTAGATTCGAGATTCTCCTCCGTTCTCACGTCGTCTTTCTCTTCGACAGATGGTTCTATACGACACTCTTCCCTACTAAACTGCGTACGCTTGCTAATTAGCGAGCAACCGCCTTAAGGTATAGAGGCGGTGACAAACCTTATTAACGAAAACGACGTCGTCAGTTAATTGGGCTTCTATACAAAGCAATTTAGATTTTGCGTCCATGACTTTGCTACATGAATAAGATATAATAACAATGGGTAATGCAGTTGTTGCTGGTTTTCACTTGCCACTGCTTAGTATTTTATTTTTATTATTGGAAACAATCTGTATTTTAACCACCCAATTTATTAAAACATAGTATTCCGATTGGTTAAATAAAAGTAGTTAGGTGATTCTAGGTTTGTGAAAAAATTTGATATATGATCTAGACCAAAATAATAGTTTCTCTACAAATAAAAAAATAAGATTAATTAGCTCAATATATTGGTTTTAGGATGCATTATTAGGTAACTAACCTATTGTAAATGAGATTTAGTTCTGTAGGAGAAAGAAGACATTAGTGGACGAAAATACCCTTGTGCAAATTGGAAAACCAAATCAGTAAAAATCATGGTAAATATTTACAATTAATTGGAAAAAATAACTAGAAATATTGCGCAATCAACAATAACGGCGATATTTAAGTAGGAAAAATAAAATCTCAGACTTAGCTTGATTGATGCAGATTGAGCTTGATTGAGCTGGTTTGTATCGAATCTGATTTCATAAGAATATTAATCATTTAATTGRATATCTCATCTCTTTGGTATATAATGGAAATCGGTGAGACTGCTCATCAATCAGAGTCGTTTTTGATAAAATCTATAGAGAAGGAGCCATAACTGATAACGTTGAAGAAGATGGAGAACAAGGTTGTCGGCGGATCTGAGAAGCAAAGAGAGGTTCGTGTAGTTAACTATTTCTTGATTATGATTTCTTATAGTTAGATAATAATGTAAGTGACATAGTTGGCTATTTATTTCAGATGATGAAAGGAACAATGGTTGTTATGGTGGTTGGTGAATGGGTTGTTTTGGAGTCTAGTGTTTGGGAATTCAAAGCTAAGCGGAACGAGCTATGCAAGTATGTTCTTTTGAGTTCGAGGCTAAGATATGAAGAGCTGTCGTGTATGGTGAAGGAAAAGTTTCAGATTTGTGCAACCAGAAATGTGAATCTTTCCTACCGATACCCTATAGGGATGGTGATGGATGATGAGGGGGTTACACCTCCAGCGTCAATAAATAGTGATGATGATGTCAATGTGTTTGAGTCGATATGCAACCATATTGACAAGGTTAGTTTGTGTGTGACTGTTCAAGCAATTGATGTAGTGCTTGGAACCTGAGAGACTCTTGAAGGCGATCCAAATCTTGGTAAGGATATTGTAACTAACTATGGCAGTGAGTTGTATTGGAGTATATTGTACGTGTTTAAAAAATGRGAGGGGTTCTTCATTGTAGTTGGCTATATGTTAGGCGAACGGTCAGAGAGGAGAAGTTGTAGTTGACTATAATCAATTGAAATATAGTTAGAATGTAAAATATAGTGAACTATACAATGTAGTTGGTATATAGTATGATATTGTAGTCCGCTATCCATGGGGTATTACTCTAATACACAGACGTTGACGTGTCTGTATGAACAGGAGCAGACGGAAGTGTGCGGAGCGCAAAAGGGAAGTCGATCGCTCTGGAAGATGGAGAGCAGTATGAAGGGTCTTCAAGTGAGAGTGACTCCGAAGATGGTGATTGGCACAATTTTGCTTTGATGGAGACTGATCTTCTTGAACATGATGTCGAGAAAGAAAATGTAACGGAGGATCCAATTCCTGTCAGCACAGAGTTTGGGGAGTGCTCGCACAAATGGCCTTGCACGTTGGAACTGATTGATTCCGGTGATGATGCAGACATTAAAGAGGCACTAGTTGGTGAGAAATGTCAGCCATGTGTACTGCAACGCTGTGCATATGAGGCGTTGACATCAGTGTTATCTAACAAAACGGGGACTCCGAGGGACGCACCCCCAGTATTGGACGATAGCGTAAATGCAGGTAAGATTTATGGACAATTTCCCCTTTTTTGTATGTAGTGGACTATTTTATTGAGTAGATGAAATCATAGTCAGCTATAGTACAATATGTAATTAACTATATTCAAGCTTGGGAGTCATGATGTGAATTTATAACTAATTAGTTTACATGTATATTCG